GGAGCGGATTTTTTGAAAGTCTGAGCGTTGAGGTTTTCACTCGCTCCGTCACGAGCACAAATTATGCCAGCTCACGCATTAAACATAATTAGTTAGCTTGACAGATATGTGGATCACATATTAAGGTTAAAATGGCGATGGACGAGTGCGGGAGGTTAAAGCATGTTGTAAATTGTAGTTTGTTAATCTCCGCTCGAAACTATAGTTGCTGCAAACGGACAGAACACACAAGCTCGCACATAACGTACAGATCGCGCGCATACATTCAGGAATGAAGAAAACGTTCAGCGATTTATCAGCTTAAAAACGGAAAAGTTACAGCATATTCTTTATGTTTCTGTAGTAACTACCCTCAGCTTCGTCATAGTAGAGAGACGTTAAGTAAGTTAAGCAGTCATTTAATATGGATTTGGGCTAATTGTAGTGTTCCAATAAACCATGTTAAAACTATTCTTCTAGTATTGTGCATTTATTTTTCGTTTAAAGGGGTCATATGATGTTGCTAAAAAGAACATTATTTTGTGTATTTGGTGTAATGAAATGTGTTTATGCGGTTTAAGGTTCAAAAAACACATTAGCCAGTCAGCAAATTTCCTTTGGCGCAGATCTGGATCATATCAACAGCTAAAGTGTGGCCCAGATTAGTTTGTGTTCGGCGGCCCAAAACTGGTCCACATCTTTTTAGCCAGAACTGAACCAAACCAGTGCCATAACCCAACCCAGAGTGAGCCAAACACTAAAAACTCTTTCAACTGGTGCTGAAGATGCAGGGACAGACAGCAGTTTAAGAGCAAGAGCATGCAAATGTGGATATTTGTCCTTGTTGTCAGCCCAGAACATAAGGGGGTCCTCCTCTATCTGAGAGTCTGAGAGCTGTTCAAAGTATTTCATTACCTGAGTGACAATGCTTGCCTCAGTGGGAGTGCTGTGTTTCTTTTTATGAGTTTATGAGTTTGCCAGGAGTCGTGGAATTTTGGAATTTGGTGGAGAATGAGGTGGTTCTGCTGTAGGCCCCTCTCTGGCATGGATATTTTCCAGGTCAGCCTTTTCTGCTTCAGCTATCAAGCAGTCTGGAAGAAATCAAACCAAAATACATACCTTATTAATCAACTTGAAAATATAATGTAATGTGAATACAAGTCTTAGTATCAGTACTAGTAGTACCAGCAAAAGTAGTATTAATAGTAGTAGTAGTAGTAGTAGTAGCAGTTAAAGTAGCTGTAGTACTATAAAACACTTAAAAACTAATTTTTGTAAGTTGGCTTTTAATTAGTTTTTTTTAATGCTTTTATTCATGAATTATTTTTTTTAGATTTGTATTCATTGTCTTATCTTTTTTTATTCATTTTTCTTACATTGCATTCAAGTTATTATGTCTGTGAAGCACTTCTTTTTGAAAAGTGCTATATAAATAAAATGTATTATATTATTATAGCAGTAATTCATAGTAGTAGTCACATTTATTTTTCGTTTAAAGGGGTCATATGATGTTGCTAAAAAGAACATTATTTTGTGTATTTGGTGTAATGAAATGTGTTTATGCGGTTTAAGGTTCAAAAAACACATTAGCCAGTCAGCAAATTTCCTTTGGCGCAGATCTGGATCATATCAACAGCTAAAGTGTGGCCCAGATTAGTTTGTGTTCGCCGGCCCAAAACTGGTCCACATCTTTTTAGCCAGAACTGAACCAAACCAGTGCCATAACCCAACCCAGAGTGAGCCAAATAATAAAAACAGATGTGGCTGATATATGGACCTTATATGGTATTGTTATATGGCTGAGTTCTGTAAAGGGCTGATGGCCCTTATGTGGCTGATAAACCAAATGCCATTATTTAACCATATTTACACCACACATATTTTTTATTTTTATTTAAAATACCCATTACACAGTAAATCGTAAACACAAAAATGGATTCACACTCATGTGAATTGTATAATTTTAATAACAGAATTACAATACAGAACATAACAGAAGTGTGCTATTTTGCAAATGTCAGATGAGTGAATAAATGTACAAAAATGTATAACCGAGTGGTTATTGAACGCTTGGAGCACGGAGGGGAAATTGTTGCCGCTCCACTCTGCTCACATACTCTGCCACGAGGTGTGTTTTGGTCATACCTGGGGCTTTGGTTTGTTTAAGGGAAAGTCCATTATTAGAGATTCTTCATGCTGACGCACATAAAGCTCCCCACTCAACGTCTCAAACACCAGTACAGGGTTGACATTTTCTGTGGGATGATATTGTGCTTTTTGAATAGTCACAGTCCATTGTCTTTGGTTAAATATTAATGTAAGAACAAGTGTTTCTTACTTTTCATGTAAAAGAGCACTGCTGCTGAGGCCAGGGTTGCATGTCCACAAAGTGGCATCTCACATGTGGGAGTAAACCAGCGTAATCCAAACCTTGCACCTTTTAAAATATATCAAAACCAAAAGCAAACATGTAAATAACAGTTGATCGAGTATTTCAACATGCATCTCAGCAGCAGAATACCTGAGGAGTAATCCATAGAATTCCGTCTTTCCGTCTTGGCGGTCTCTGATAAATTCATCTCAGCAGCAATGCTCTGATAAAGATCATCTCGCAGCTCCTAAATGTATTAATGTATTACATTTCATATTCTGATCTTTATAGCTGCTAACATGTTTAAATTAGTGCTGACAACTGATAAAAAAAAATTATCACAATTAATCCCACCTAAAATTAATGTTTTTAAATATATATTTCAATAATTTCACATGTAATCTTCAAATTAATGTAGAAACAACATAAAGACAGTATTTTAATATTTGTTTAGTGGCATCCTTTTTATGACTAAAGGCGAGTATCACTGATACCAATACTACTACTAATGTCTCTATGAAATAGATTTTTCCCCCTAATATTTCACCATTGACCATAGCCATTCAACATTAGCTACAGTATAATTGAGAGCTATACATTTTAACATAAAAAAAAATAACAACTTCTAATTAAAGTGAACAATTTTCACATAAACCAATTATAATAAAGCAGGTAAGAAAAATACAGAAATTGACTAAAGTTATCAAACACTAAAATCTAAATTAAATATAGATAAATCCTTAAAGCTACAAAAGTTACTGATTTCCTCTTTTTTCTTTTGTTCATAACTGCTGGGTTATTAGGTTTTTTGGCTGCTATTACTTTACTGCCGCTGCTGAACTTGACGCAGATCTGACACGCATGGTATTTTCTCACAACTCGAGAGATGGTCCTCACTGCAGAACACAAGATCCAGGGGGCGAGGTTGGATCCAGATCCAACTCCTCCCACCTTACATGTACCTAAACCTACCCGTCTCCACCCCCTGATCCCTAAACCCACCCATCTCCACCCCCTAGATGTGGATCCAACCCCGCCCCCTGGATCTTTGTTCTGCAGTGAGGGGCTACTGCAACTCGATACTATGGAATATGGAAGACCGTTAGGGCCAAAACGTGAGGTACTAACGCGTTAACGCTAACGCGTTGTGCAAAGTAACAACTCTGTAGGACTGGGGTCTCCTAACTAGATCCTGGAGGGGCAATGCCCTGCAGAGTTTAGCTCCAACTGGCCTTAACACACCTATCCTGTTATAGCAGACATATCCACTGATTTGCATTGATTTTGCCTTTCTAATAGTCCTGCACGATATGAGGAAATTCTGCTATGTGTGATAACAGTGGAGTTTTTTTTTTTTTTTTTAATATTAAATATCTCTTAAATGGGCATTAAAAACTCTTTTTATAGTGATTTTTCCTATACATATTTGAGAATATTCACAAGCAGCAGTTCCAGCTCTTACACTTGCCATTTTCCATCCTGCAGTGCGATCATGTCCCTGAGCAATGCTCTGATGTATGAGGGCCGACTGGAGTGTGGCTCTGAGAGGACGGCGAGCGCAGTGCTGCAGCTGCCCGGTAGAGCTCAGGTTGAGAAGGAGCTGGACCTGTTTGGGTGTCAGCCGCAGTATAGCACTTGGGTCCAGGCTGCGCTGGAGCCCAATAGTCCTGTCTGTTTCCTGGACATGTCTGAGGTCAGTCTGACTGCCTTTTTTCTTAGTCGTCATCTCATTTGGCCTGTTATAGAATCCTAAATTTGTTTTTCGTACATTTTTATCATTATGTACTGTACCTTTCTTCAGGTTCCCGCCCCTGAGACGGTGGAAAAAAATGGCATCAGTAACCACACGGAAGCTATATTGGTACAAGCCCTTGTCACTTTGCTGCTCAAGGTCCGAACATGCCATTTGTTTTGAAACGCATTGAAATATGTTTTTTTTCCCCCCTGTACTACTTGAAATTAAATTTTAATTTTAAACGTGTTGTAGGCTGGATGTAGAGCATCTGATATTGGGGTCATTGCTCCATATCGACAACAGCTAAAAGCCATCTCCAGTCTGCTCCAGGGAGACGCCTTTAAAGCTCTGGAAGTCAACACTGTGGACAAATACCAAGGACGTGACAAGAGCGTCATCATTGTGTCCTTTGTTCGAAGCAACCCTGAAGGCAATGTAAGTGGCCTTCCCCCCTGAATTTAAACATTTAAAAATATCTAAATATTTAACATTTAAGCCAATTAACTGTATATTGCAGTGATCGAGTATATGATGCATGGGCCATTATGTGCTCGATTATTTAATTATTCTCATGTGTAAAATCATTTTACAGCTGGGTGAGTTGCTTCAAGACTGGCGCAGGCTGAATGTGGCCATCACTAGAGCCAAACACAAGCTCCTCATGCTGGGCTCAGCATCCACCCTTCGCCGGTACGCACCGCTAGAGAAACTTCTCTGCCACCTTCAACAGGAAGATATGATATCCTTTACAACCGTGTTTATGTATGAGAATGTTATTACAGGTTCATTCAGGGACTTTTTATCAGTCTGTCATTGAAATTAGTTAAAGTCAGTAATAAATTATTAGTAACTTTTTTGGTGAAACAATATTTTTGACATTTTCCTTAATTTAAGTCACATCTTCCAGCTGCCTGCTGCTGCCCATGAGGCACTACCCGGAATCCACTTGTGATAAAAAACAAAAACCTCTTCTGATCCATATAGTGTACGTCAATATAGTGCTGTGAAACTTTTACTCGAAGAACATTTAAGTGAAATGGTATACATAAGCTTCAGATGACTATAGACGGTTTTAATAATAGATGCGAAGTTTAATAATAAATCACTGCTGACAGGCCCTAGTACATAATTACACTCATGAGTTTCTTTACTCAATTCCTACCTCATGTTGCATATTTTTTTAATTCATTATTTTTATTCATGTAAGTGTTTTGTGTATGTTTTTTTTTTTTTAATTTTTATGAATTTATAAAGTTTTGTTTAATAAAAAATTTCAACAAATATTACATTCTCTTTGACTTTCTCTTTGAGTTAAAATTAAATATAATAAAAAGGATAGTTTTGAGGGTCTGTGAACTTGGATTTTATTAAATGACACACAACTTGCACCAACACATTAATTAAAATAGCTGTTAAATGCACTTGATTTCCATCAAAACCACAAGTTTGTCCTGAGGTGTAAAGATTATATGAAACCCATACTTGAGTAAAAGTACAGATACCGTACAGTGAAAATGAGTCCACTAACATGTTACATGTCACCAATTCCAAAACAACTTGAGTAAAAGTCTTAGAATATTTTATTTTAACAGTACTTAAGGATTTTATAGGCGCAAAGATGCACTAGTCAAAGAAATATTCCAGTGAAAAAATTTAACGTGGAGAATCTGGGGAAAACACAGGTATAGGCAAGGATGGAAAAACTAGAAAAAAAAAACAATAAACCAAAAACCACAGTGAATAAAGAATGGAATGATGAGAAAACAGCCAACCATTACATTCAACAACTCACAAGGAACTAAAGAAACACGGGGGCCATATATACACAGGGGGCTAACAAGACACACTTGGGGAGACTAATCAAGCGGAAACAAATGGACTGCAAACTGACTACAAATACCACATGAGACAGGAAGCGCAAAAGTCCAAGACGAGGCACAGAGAACAGGTAACAAGAAAGATTTGATTTGTGAGGAGAGCAAATCGTATTTATTTTCTAAAACCAAAATAAAACTGAACACCTCAAAATTGCAAAAAAAACAACAACATCCTCTAAAAAGGTCTCTTCACTGGTAGATAAAATAATGTTAAGTAAAATGAAAAAGTCAAAGCCTTCTTGCACTGCATGTGCTGGGTTCGGCCTCATTGCTGGCTGCAGTCATAATGTCCTCATCTCATGTATAACACCTGTGATAAGCTAAGGAGCTCGCATTCACGTAAAGTATAGCCTTGTTGACAAGTTTGGTTGAGTAAGGGTCATATAGTACTTCCAGAGCACTGTAGTAGGCAGTACCACATCTTTTGTAGCAGATATAAACTGCTGCAGAAAAGCTAGGTACCATGCAAAATGTAATGTGTATAACTGTGACACTCATTTCAAATAGTGGAGTAAAGAGTACAGACATTCATTCAAAAATGTAGTGAAGTAGAGAGTAACAGTTGCTAATACCTTTGATACTCAGTAAAACTACAAAGTATCTGAAAAGATACGCAAGTACAGTAATTAATTACATTTACTCAAATACTTTACACCTCTGAATTTGTCTAGATTTTAAGAGCTCCCTGAAGAATGATCTGTGCCTGACCAATGATGTCCAGTCTACCATCATTTCTTATCTCCAGCTTTACCTCGCCTCCTCGACTGGAGCACTGGTAAGCTGCAAAAACAAATATTGCAGAGATGAATGCTTTATTCTGAGCCAAGAGCCTTTGTTCATGTCATCAGAACTTATGTCCTTACACATTTGCTTTTAAACGTGTTTATTCGATCATGTTAACTTCCATTTTAATGTGGATTCTGATGTATTTTATGCCAATGTGTGTATGATGGCATGATGCAGGGAAGGATAAGGCGGCCTTTACCCAACATGTTCTTTTTCTTCAGCTTTTCAGACCAGTAGCCAGCAAGGACTGTATGTGCAGACCCTTTTAGAAATGAAGTTGTATTATGATGCTTTGATTGCTCTGCATGTAAATGGTTTGAGTTTACATGATACACATTTCAAACAGCTTTTAAATGTTCTTCTCACCAGTGACTGGATCTTCAGAGACCCCAACCCACGGGGCGAAGACACGGGAGTAAAAGTCATATCCAGACTGAGTGCTCTCTGCTCCTTTCAGTGTAATGATAAGACTGTTAATCTTACCAGTGGTTTCATTTCTCAGAAGAGACTCTGCCTCTGGCCTCAAAGACACAAGTTCAGACCTGCCAACAATTAAGAGTTAACACTGCAGAATGAAAGGGAAAATACTATTGTAAATAGGTAGTATATGGGCAATTATTTTTTCTCTGACTGAATGTTGCACTAAAATGTTTTTTTTTAATCTGCCTCACATACAATTTGCAATAGATTATTAATTTTTCTCTGCAAAGCTGTTTTCCTATTGCCCATAAACACATTGCCATGATCAATAGAATTTTCTTTCTTGTTCTTTTTTTAGAAATGCCTAAGAAAAGTCCAGCAGCATACCTGTCACAAGCGTCAGCCAGACGAACCATCAGTTTCTTTGTGGTTGGACTGTAACACACATCCTGAATGGGTAAGTCTCCTACAGCAGCCTGAAAATTTCAAACAAAATGAATAAATAAATGCTAGTTTCTACTTGTGTCACACTAAAACCAGAATTAGCACATGACAGTGTTACCTTTAAAAGATCCTTGATTTCATGTTGGTCCTGCAAATAACACATACAAACCTAATAAATTCAGACAACTACTTGATTAATCATGAGACTATATGAGTTTTTTTGAAGAAAGCATCCACGAGGTGTGTTTTGGTCATACCTGGGGCTTTGGTTTGTTTAAGGGAAAGTCCATTATTAGAGATTCTTCATGCTGACGCACATAAAGCTCCCCACTCAACGTCTCAAACACCAGTACAGGGTTGACATTTTCTGTGGGATGATATTGTGCTTTTTGAATAGTCACAGTCCATTGTCTTTGGTTAAATATTAATGTAAGAACAAGTGTTTCTTACTTTTCATGTAAAAGAGCACTGCTGCTGAGGCCAGGGTTGCATGTCCACAAAGTGGCATCTCACATGTGGGAGTAAACCAGCGTAATCCAAACCTCGAACCTTTCAAAATATATCAAAACCAAAAGCAGACATGTAAGTCAGAGTTGTTTGAGTATTTCAACATGCATCTCAGCAGCAGAATACCTGAGGAGTAATCCATAGATTTCCGTCTTGTGATGAAAGCGGTCTCTGATAAATTCATCTCAGCAGCAATGCTCTGATAAAGATCATCTCGCAGCTCCTAAATGTATTACAGAGAAACATTTCATATTCTGATCTTTATAGCTGCTAACATGTTTAAATTAGTGCTGACAACTGATAAAAAAAATTTATCACAATTAATCCCACCTAAAATTAATGTTTTTAAATATATATTTCAATAATTTCACATGTAATCTTCAAATTAGTGTAGAAACAACAAAGACAGTATTTTAATATTTGTTTAGTGGCATCCTTTTTATGACTAAAGGCGAGTATCACTGATACCAATACTACTACTAATGTCTCTATGAAATAGATTTTTCCCCCTAATATTTCACCATTGACCATAGCCATTCAACATTAGCTACAGTATAATTGAGAGCTATACATTTTAACATAAAAAAAAATAACAACTTCTAATTAAAGTGAACAATTTTCACATAAACCAATTATAATAAAGCAGGTAAGAAAAATACAGAAATTGACTAAAGTTATCAAACACTAAAATCTAAATTAAATATAGATAAATCCTTAAAGCTACAAAAGTTACTGATTTCCTCTTTTTTCTTTTGTTCATAACTGCTGGGTTATTAGGTTTTTTGGCTGCTATTACTTTACTGCCGCTGCTGAACTTGACGCAGATCTGACACGCATGGTATTTTCTCACAACTCGAGAGATGGTCCTCACTGCAGAACACAAGATCCAGGGGGCGAGGTTGGATCCAGATCCAACTCCTCCCACCTTACATGTACCTAAACCTACCCGTCTCCACCCCCTGATCCCTAAACCCACCCATCTCCACCCCCTAGATGTGGATCCAACCCCGCCCCCTGGATCTTTGTTCTGCAGTGAGGGGCTACTGCAACTCGATACTATGGAATATGGAAGACCGTTAGGGCCAAAACGTGAGGTACTAACGCGTTAACGCTAACGCGTTGTGCAAAGTAACAACTCTGTAGGACTGGGGTCTCCTAACTAGATCCTGGAGGGGCAATGCCCTGCAGAGTTTAGCTCCAACTGGCCTTAACACACCTATCCTGTTATAGCAGACATATCCACTGATTTGCATTAATTTTGCCTTTCTAATAGTCCTGCACGATATGAGGAAATTCTGCTATGTGTGATAACAGTGGAGTTTTTTTTTTTTTTTTGCAATGATGATTACTTGTGATAAACAAATTAATAATTAACTCTGCATATTAGGGCCAACAAATAAAACTAAATATTTTGTTTTTGTTTTTGAAAACAAAATTTCAACATGCATCTCAGTGCATCTCAGAGCATTACAACCAATAACATACGATTCCATTGAGTTTATTAATGCAATGGCCAATCAAAGGCGTTCAGATGAGTCATCGCTGAAACACCAGAGTTTTGTTGAGTGCTGAATTCTGCACTCTGGCGCCTAAATCCACCAACTCTGCTATTTCATAGCACGTTTCGGTGCCCATTGCTCAATTACGTGTTAAGCTGTAATTACATGTTAACGCGTATCACACGTTTTGGCTCTAACGGCCTTCCATACGAGACTGAGGTCTCTGCAGAGCAAAAGTGGGTGTTTCTGACTTTGTGGGTGTTTTCAAACTGCTGCGTTTTCTAAATCATGCAATGAGAATGATGCCCCTTACCTGACCCCACCCCTAAACATACCGTCACTATGACGTGGGCCAATCGGGTAATGCCCCTCTGTTTTGGCCTCGCCCACTGATCTAGTAACTCCCATTATTTTCCTGCAGAGACCTATATTTGTGGGGAGCACAACTCTTTACATTTTCTGGCATGCTTCAGGTCCTAAAGTCTCTAATGAACTGACGAGTTGAATCGGGTGTGTTAGATGAGGAGGACAGTACTGGGATGCTCCAGGACAGTTTTGAAAACCACTGCATTTCAGAGACATGTTCTTAAATCTGACTCATATATAACAAATACTAACATACATGCAAAATTTTAAGGCAGCTTTAATTGAATTTTTTCTAATGCCGTTGAACTGGAAAAATGTATTGCATGCGTTAACGCGCTAATTTTGACAGCACTAGTTTCAACAATCAGAAACTAAAAAACATAAAACTGTCTTGTGCAGTGTAATACTTACATTCTCTATAAGACATACTGCTGCAGGATTACCTTTGAATGGTAAATTAGTAAAAGAATCAACTGTAAATATTGGAATCTCCATTGCTTCTACTCTAGAGTAAAACAGCTGTAACAAGTTTAGCGTGACATTTAGCAAGTCATAGTCCAGTGCTGCTTTGAGGCTTGCTGAAACTGACCCCAGTAGTGTAACCCCCCCCCTTTTTAAAGTTACAGGCAACACGTAATTATAAATATTATTACACAAATTAATTACATGTAATTACATGCCGGTATTTTTTTGTTTTTTTGTTTACACTTTATTTTAAGGTGTGCTTGTTACAGTGTAATTATACATTTAAGTACTGAGTAATATTAATTAACTACATGTACTTACTATATGGGTTTGGATTAGGGTTTGGTTTAGGGTTACTTGCATGTAATTATGCATAATTTATTGTTATTATCATAGAAAGTACATGTAACATGTAACAAGGACACTTTAAAATAAAGTGTTACTTTTTAAAATATTAATACGAAGTAAAATGTATGGACACAATAAGTGCATTGTATCAAATGATTCATTAAAACGTTAGTAGCTACATAGTTAAACAACACTTGTTGATCTGGAACCACCAGTTGCAATATTAATATTTGCATTATGCAACACAGTCAAAAACTGAAAAATGTCCATTATTACTAAAAAAAAAAATTATTTTCTTCACGAAAATTATTTTCTTCATTTTCTTCAGGGAAAAATCGAAGTGAGTGTTCTAATTAGCTTCACTAGCCTTCACAGTCTTCCCACAGCTGTACTTGTTTGTACAGAGCTGCAGATAGATAAACGGCAGCCATATCACCCTGTAGCCCAAGACTGGTTACCCACTGAAGCTAAGCAGGGCTGAACCTGGTCAGTACCTGGATGGGAGACCTCCTGGGAAAACCAGGTTGCTGCTCGAAGAGGTGTTAGTGAGGCCAGCAGGGGGTGCTCACCCTGTGGTCTGTGTGGGTCCTAATGCCCCAGTATAGTGACGGGGACACTATACTGTCAACAAGCACCGTCCTTCGGATGAGACGTTAAACCGAGGTCCTGACTCTCTGTGGTCATTAAAAATCCCAAGATGTCTTTCAAAAAGAGTAGAGGTGTGACCTTTTTGAGTATCTGTACTTTACTTGAGTATAATTTTTTCTGGAAATTTATGATTTTAACTTCACTACATTTGAAAGACAAATATTGTACTTTTCACTCCACTACATTTCTTTCAAGGTCCTCGAAGTAGAAAGTCGTTACTATGTAGCAGCTTTGAAAGTCAGTGGGTGATTTTTTTCTTCTCTAAAAACTGTATTTTTTTCAGACAGTTTATCAGTAATCATTCTAGGGGCTACATTAAGTGATTTCCCATCATTTTTTGAGCACTGACCAGTTCCAAATGTGATATTTACAACAATTAAATAATAAGTTAATATTGTGGTATATATTAGACACAATATTGTCTGATTTTGCTAAATTGTGTAAGTGAAAATATTACCAATAACAGAGGAACTGTTTGACTGAAGCAGCATTGCACAGACTGTTCTGTGTGTGACATCAAAGTACCATTAGACAGCATTTTTTTATTTTTTGTTTTGATGTCAAATAAGTCTTGCTGTTTTGATTTTGTGTTAAAGCAGTGTTGCTGTTGTAAAGTTATACAGCTAAAATTTTGTTGCTGGGTTTTAAAGCAGGTTTGATTTTTTATTTTCTTCCTTATCAGTCTGTATTTACAGCAATATCACTGTCCACTCTGTTCAAATGTGGATGAATGGCTACACATAGATGTGTCCAGAGCTGTGTGAGATCACTACCATCCTGCTTTTGTGGGGGTGTAGGGGTGTTAAATAATACGGTTTTTTTGTTTGTTTTGTTTTTTTCCCCATATAGGGTTTTAACATTCTAAAAGCGCTTTATTCCAAAGATACTACAAACTAGTCAGTGTATTCAGTAGGTGTAATGTATTGTAAGTTGCTTCAAAGGTATTGCAAGTATTACATACAACAATAATAAAACAGTGCACTGACACAAAAAAGGAAATTTACTTTTGGTACTTAAGTACTTTTAAAAGTAAGTACTTCTGTACTTTTACTTAAGTAAAAATCTATCTTTACAACTTTTACTTGTAATGGAGTAATATTTGACCAGCAGTATCTGTACTTTCACTCAAGTAATGGAGTTGAGTACTTTGTCCGGCTCTGCTGCCGTCACATCATCCAGGTGGATGCTGCACACTGGTGGTGGATGAGGAGATACCCCCTGACAATGTAAAGCGCTTTGAGTGCCTAGAAAAGCGCTATATAAATGTAATGAATTATTATTTATTATTATTATAGTCTCTTGCGGTAATACACATGGCCTACGTTTGATGACTCTTCCGTGATGCATGCGCCACATGCGCTTGGAGCCTCGGCTCACACGTTAGACCGTTCGGTGCGCCTGCAGCGAGGTCAGTGTCCTCTGACAGGCCGCGTTCTCGCGAGACTTCGGCTCTGAACTACTGGACTATCGTTCAGGGTTACGCTTGACGGTGAGAAGCTATTCGCTATTCATGTATATAACGTTATTTCTTATTTAACTTTTCATGTATAAGTTGATCATTTACACGCAATGGTGAATATATTTTGTGTACTTTGGATCGCGGAAGTGCTGGTTTTTGTTCCAGAAACTGTCAACTTGTCGGTCGTTGATTCCTGTCAGAAGAATATCTCGCTAATGTTACAGTCGTTTTGTATAAAGTTCATCAATTTCGGTTGCGGTTTGTTTGACACATGACCGAACTGTTTTACGAATGCTATATATAGCATGTAACGTTACCATGTTAGCTTGGTCTCAAGTTTAAAACCCTCCCGTATTTTGACCTACCGGTAGTGGTTGTCTAGCTGGCTAACTAACTTAAATTGACGTTTAATATAAGGTAAGGTGCAAGGTAGGTTAAGCACCTTATTCACACAAACGCAACATGTTTTGGTGTATTCCTAACTACACCAAAACATGTTGCGTTTGTGTGAAATGTCATTGTTTGTGTTTTTCTCTCTTGAAAGGAAGCCACTGGCTCTTGACAACATGGCTGTCTCACATATCGACTTGCCTAACGTTAACATTACCTAGACAGCATTTTTTGGGCGTCATACGTACGTTCCAAACTCTGTTGAAATGGCCAGAAATTCATCCCAAGTAGGCAACTTCCTGGGTTTGATGCACTGCCAACGTTGTCACTACAGAGAAAACACTAATACAAACTATTTTGATCGAGTTAAGAGTATTGACTAATTAACACAGTGCGGTCTAGGTAGGCAATTACTGGTTTTGATACACTGCCAAGGTTGTCAAGACAGAAAAAAAAAACTAATACGAACTATTTTGATAGTTTAGATAGGCAGCTCACTAGGTTTGAAGGCACAGCATATGTGTTACATGAATTTGTTTTTCAGATACAGTTCTGTCAAGGTAAACATGTCTCATAATGATGAAGGATATGTGGTACGGATCCGTGGTTTGCCTTGGTCATGCACACAGGAGGAAGTGGCCTCCTTTTTCTCTGGTATGCACTCTCAAACTGAAAGCATCTTTTGTAGCGCTCTATGTGAGTTTACAGAAAAAGAGCTGCAGTTGTGATTTTCCTTTTTTTTTTTTTTACTTACAGATTGTGACATTGTAGGGAAAGTGAAGGGGGTGTGTTTTACCTTCTCCAAAGAGGGAAGGCAGAGTGGAGAGGCGTTTGTGGAGCTGAAGACATCAGAGGACTTTAAAAAGGCTTTGGCAAAAGATCGTAAATACATGGGTCATCGTTACGTCGAAGGTACATTCCTGTACACAATGTAGAAAAACGAAGCAGTTGACTGCCTAGACTGGGTGAACTATCCCTTTTCCATGAATTATTGGACAATGCTTTTTTTTATGGAATATTTCATTGTTTACTATAAATGGTTTATTCGTGCACAAATTTTTTTTTTTAAATTCATGTGCCCTTGTAATCAAAAACATTAACATACCCTCCTTCTCACAATTTCCACAATTAGAAAATTACAATGATCAAATCAATTCAAGTTGTACAAAATCAAGTTCTGCCCTACATTTTTTCCCCTTTTCGAGAAGTCGCTTTACTCAGATATGCATCACTATAGGAAAGAAAAGATGACTGTTTCATACAGACTTAAATAGCACAAATTAAAGCAGTTGATATGTTTGTGCATTTGTTTGTTAAAATGTCTAATAATTGATTGTCTGCCTCTTGACCCTTCCACAGTGTTCAAGTCAAACCGTAGTGAGATGGATTGGGTGCTGAAACGCTCCAGTCCCACAGACTATGACAGCGGCAGCAGTTGCATGTTGCGTCTAAGAGGACTGCCATTCGGCTGCAGTAAAGAAGAAATTCTACAGTTCTTTTCAGGTACATTTGTTGTTTCACTTCAACACTTCCTAGACTTGCAGATATTGCTAGGACATCTTTTTAAAACTACTGAAAATTGTTTTTTGGTTTGTGTCAGTTCTTCCTTTTTTATGTCTTTATATAATCAGTCAGATCATATTTTGAAGCTTTTTCTTTTTATAATCTCAACAGATTATTAAGCATGTTTTGGTTATATTTAACATTATTTATATGTCGCCAGCATCACAGAGGTAGCTGTGCTATGATTTCTTGATTGATTGATTTTAATTTCATGGATTTATCCTTTGTGGTTTGCTCTAGGGTTTTTATCTGACATAGGGATTTTGACAATTTAGGGGCTCATTTGAGAGGGGGGGGGGGGAGA